CCCTGACCCTAGCCTCTGACTCAAAAGTCTGACCCACGAGGCAGTGGGAAAATGTAGGGTTTTCTTTGGGGACCCTACCCGGAGCCGACGACCCAACAGTCTGACCTGCTCGGCTGCAGGGGGTTGGCCTAACCCGAGGGCGCAGGGAATAAGGCATTCCTGTCTCATTCCTGATGTGGCTGCGCACAGTAGGTGCTTTTGAGCAGCACCGGGCTCTTTGGTTTTAAAAGTATTTCGACCGTATCGGATAATGCGCCGGCGGTTACGATCAACCGTTGGACGATCGGACCTTTTCTAACCCGTCCTTCCTCGGGGGAAGGCAGCATCGCTGCTTCCATAAATATGGACATGCTGGTCACCTGGGGGAAACACCTTACTGCCTTCACACTCCTGTCGCAGAGGACAGTACGACTTTACCCCCAGACCGCCTCGTAGCCCGATTACTCGTAGTACGGGGTCTCGCTGCTCTTGGTCTGGCTGATCCTCACTTAAAGTCTTCCTGACTGAGCTGAAAGATCTGCATTTTGTATTCGAAACGCAAAAACACCTTACTTCTCATCACGTGACCATTGAAGACCATGAGCCATAGTACGGATGAATTAACAGACTTACAGATGAGTCTTCGAGATCAATTTACGCACCATGACGTGCTGCAGAACACAAGCCATTAAACCACTGCTCTCTATAGTATGTTTGGTCATCAAGCTCACTGGACGGTATGGGGAATGTGCACTTAGAACAATAAAAAGAACTAAATTCTGCTCCGTCAGAAGTCAACTCCAAGCAAAGCAGTAGTTGCGTTTCCTGATTTCCGAGGAAATGTGGTTTCCATCGAGAGTTAGCAGGACAGAAATGCTAAAAAGTTCTACCTATGAATTCAAAGGTTAAGTCCCGGGAATAAAACAAAGTGGTATTTGAGCGATTGGTCGACAACTGCGGAGACAATTGCTGGAGGCATGTATTTATTCATGGTGAATACACGCTAGTCCACAACCGATTTCCGGACCTTTTTACTGTGAACTGCCGAAGGTAAAAAAGATCTTTCTGGATCGAGGTGAGACACGACAACAGTCTTTCTAGATGAGGAGGGAGCTGTAGATCCGAAAATACGAAAAGGTTGCTGGCCATTTCGCCCAGATTCGCCTAGTGTTTTACGCTGGAGGTGCTGTCAATGATGAATTCAGTAGGTGAGAGTTCAAGTAAAAATAATCGCCCAATCCCTTTTTGGAATATAATGAGCATTCGTATCGTGGACACAGCCGCGCAAGCATGAAATTCAGAGAGAGGAGCTTCTATGTAAGCAGCGAGCTAACGAGCTGTTCAGATTCTGAGCAACAAGCGGACAGCTGCTTGTCGTTCAGTTCGCTGAGCTTGGTGATTCGGTTGCAAGCGTTACGTCACCAGCCGAAGTGACATCATCGGTGCGTAGTCGTTGCACCGTTGTTTAGCAGCACGGTGAGCTACAACGTTTCCCTCCAAGCAGAAAACCGTAAGGGTAAAGCATGCTGCTGGACGGGATGAGTTAGCTGAGTGTTCCAACGATCGTGCTGAGCAACTGGGAGAAACCGAAAATGCAAGCAGAGGATTTGCGGGGCTGGTGTGGTGTGGAGCAGGTGCTTGTTGGCTGAGTCAAAAGCAGACGTAGTGTGTGAGACTGCTGGACAAACACGCGATGACAGTTAAAAAAAGAGAAGTGGAAAGCCAACCTTGGAGAATCGCAGCAAGACTTGCTTTTATGAAGATGCAGACTCATTTCAAACAAAGGTTAAGCACCAATTCCATCAAACTTGGACTCGATCGGTTCCTAGGGACATGAAAGTAAGAATGGATTGAATAGAACCATTCAGCCAAGGGATATGAAAAACGCTTTTCCACCGGTAGGATAGACTGCCTCCCCTGTTATAATACTAGTTGGATTCCGAAGAAGAACGACCAAAAGTCGAATGTCAGGGATAAAGTAAAATAACCGATCAGAACTCGCACCGTTACGTGATTCTCACCAATTCTACTGCAAGGATGTGAACGATACTAAGGAACGGTAGGATATTTTACTTTAGGGGCACTCTTTCGAGGCCACTCTTTAGCGATGGGGGGAAATTCACTAGTGAGGAGAGATTCGGTTCAACACCGAAAGCCGGGACTTGCAACGCTTTAGGAACTCGCTTTGAGGGATGGGCCAACATCCCGTGCACGGGTCACAAAACTGCTCTATGCGTAAGTGTGGGTTTGAAAACAGCCATGGATCGTTGTAAGTTCAAAAATTCAATAATCCATTCGTGAACGGTCGGAGGGAGCATCGTTGCTACATTTTGGAAGACTTTGCGAGAGAGCAGTTTTTTGACATTAGTTGGCTCTTTGGTGAAGGCAAATGGGATTCATGGATAAGGTTGCTAGATACCACATGTGTTCCTCTAGACAGTCCAGCAGAAGCAGCTGATAAACTGGAAGGAAGTGAGTATCACCTTCAGTTGGGGCCATTTTAATCCGAGTAATTTCCACAGTGCTGAACAAACGATCCCCCAACTTCGGCCACAAAGCCATTTTTTCGAATGATTTGAGCGAATTCCTACTAGGGTACATAGACTGGTGCGGACAGAGAGTAATGTCAATGCGTTGTTTTCCAGAGTCGTGCTAGAAAGTGTTCATACAGCTTTGTATATTTTTACTTCACCACGTACATGAGGTTAAAAAACGAATGGAGTTCATGCGTTTCTTACTTAATTCCGAAAGTACTGCATTGTTTGCATTAATTTGACATAATGTCGGATGCTGATGACATTTTTTGTTTCTGCTCTTTTCAGTCTGGTGACGAAATCGCCCCAGATGACGGCGGGAGATGAGCCATGCCTTGGTCACACGCTGAACGTGTGATCGACCTCTTAGGACTGGTGTTTGTCACGTCCCCTTTATTATGATCGAAGATATTTGCTGTCGGAGGTGCATGAGAATGTCGGAGGCTAGGACGTTGAGAACTGTAGCAGATTAAAGCAGAGAACATCAGCGAGGACGTATCGAGAATACATCGAAATATTGGTGGTTCGGGTAGGTTAATTGGTTGTAGATCAGGTGACTGTTGGCCCGTTCGCCAGGCTTGGCAATTTCTACGCAGGCGTTTCACCACCAATCATGGGTGGGTGACGAAACACCTGCAAACTAATTGCCAAGCTCGGCGAACAGAGTGACAGCCATCTGATCTACAGCGAATGTACCCAGAGACTCGAAACGCATGACTGAAGAGGGAAAACCTGAGCACCCAGAGGAGACTACAGCTGTGAGGGCACTAGTCCTGTTGTCAGTTGCAAACCTGGTGGCTGGTGATCTGCTCTCAATGGACTAGCTAAACTGATTCATCGTAGATTTGAGGTTGTTGGTAGCCTCCTAAGAACGACCATGATTTGGTTCTCTTTGAGTGAAACAACCTCACTTGAATCTGTTGGCTTGCCTGCTATCCGTTTTCACATTCACCTCTACGGCTTTGGCAAGCTACATTTCGAGATTCCAATTTCTTTCTCTCCAGGTTGTTTACAATACGGTCATACGTATCACACGTCTGTGTGAAGCACTGGTTGGAAACAGTTTATTCCCTCGTTGTCATCCTGCGTAAAGTAAGCAAACAGTATCGTGACGGTGTGCAATACAAAAGACACTAGTAATGAGATCGATCACGCGTCCAGTAACTGATCATGCCTCGACCCAATTCTGACCATTGTCCGAGACAGTTTCTTGTTGCTAATTTAGAGCTTCCACCATGCATATGGTGTGTACTTTAGCTACACTGGATAAGTACTATCGCTCAAACTGCCGTTCGCCTACTCTGACACCCGTAGAGTCGAATTGATCCAAAGGTTCGAACTGTAAAAATCGAGTAGGAAGAACTGCGGCGTCTCTAGGTTCGGATTCACTGAAATTGCAGGCTAGTGACGTTTTTGCCACCCTAATACTGCCACAAGTGTTTGTCATTGCCTCAAACCTGCAAAGTGTAACATACACCACCTTAGAGTTATCCGTTGGAAAATCCAACTTATTCGTAAGTGTGCCAGTCTCGATAAAGTTATCTTATGAATAGAGAAGGCCAGGACGTCCGACAACGGCAATAAGCAGGATGCGCCGTACCTTAAATTCTATCTTGTGGTTTAGAAACGCAGTCAATGTGAGGAAATAAGCGACAACATTGAACATTTGACCATTGACGTGCACGAAACACTGTAAGTCCTAGTAGTGAAAAGGTGGATTGTTTTGTACGTGTATTCCGAATTGTTTACGACACCCAACGTCCTCTAACACACTCCTTGAGAAGAAGCGACATCTCGAGGAGATAGTTTTGGAGATGAACAGTTTTTTTTCTAATGCGATACTTGCCTGAAAAAAAAAACAAATTCCACAGAACCAGGCTTTCTGGTCTGCCTCAACACTGTTTGGCAATCTACCCAAGCTTATTGGCAGAATATGAAGTTGGATCGATCAGGCCCGAAGCACTGTTGATACACAAACTGCCACGACAATGGACAGTTCACTATCTGACTTAGCTTAAGCAATGAGTTGGCCTCGGACAAGCACAAAGTACGACTAGTTTGAAGACTGCAATACTAACTTGGGCTGATAAAGATGGAGGGGATGCATCACCACTCGACGACTACCACTTTGTTGTTATGTAGGAATAGGTATTTTTGTTTGGCGGTTCCTAGTCGAATTTCACTAGATGGAAATGACAAAAGTTTACGGTGACCGGGATGTAGCGAGCCTATGTACCAACAACGGTAATGAATACAGAGAGCATGCACGCTGGACAAAATGCACGAAATCGATGCTAAGGAAACTTTATCAAACCATCGCGGAAAATGTACGAGTTCGTGATTATTTGTCAGCGACATGGCTCAGTGGTTGGAGCACGATTTACTGACCGGAAGGTCTGTAGTTCGAACCCGACCTCTGCATCTCCACTTCCCCTGTCTGAGCTTGGGCAACCTGGCAGTATTCCAGCCCTCATGCTTCCTTTAGGTCGAATGACAGTTAGGCAAGGAAAGGGTGCCACAGCTGAATGGTATTTCTTTTTGTTTGTCAGTCCCTGATAGATGGCAAGCCATGACACATCCGGCCTCGACTTTAAAGCCGAGTAGGTGTGATATTGTTCATCGGGAACGCATAAAAAAGGAAAATAGTTGAGCTAAGCATAGAGGCTGAGGGAGAGCGACCACAAAGAGCCAATCGCCTGATGAACTACTAGCACGGTAGTAAATGGACGACAACATAAGCCGACTGAACAGTGTATGCCTCTGACTGCTGTCAGGAAGGTCGGATTCCTGGAAATAAACCCAGAATGCCCGGAACCTACTGAAACCCTAAAACTCCACTAAAATCTCAATTAAGAAGCCGACAAGCATCCAGACTAGTCAATCACTCAATCAATTCAACAAAAGCCTATGAGTGTTAAGACACGCCATAGAAGTACGACCGATCATGTGTCCAGGCATTGCATGGAAGCACGGTCGATATTGATCGGTTTTCACTAAACGTCGGTCAGAAAGCCTGGATCAATCTCAAAAAAGCCCTTTAAACAGTGCGGGCCGTTGTAATCTTTGCACTCGCACGCACTCGCTTGTTGCAATAAAGTTGTTGTGTTCTTTGTCGACGAGTCTTTTTCCGGCACCGGAGCACTGGAGCGACGGCAGCAGTCACATATAAGAGCTGTCGATTGGATATACTGAGCTAGCCACCCACTGCATATAATCTCGTGATTTCCTGCACCAGTAAGACGAAATACAAAATCATCTGGTCCACTATCTTCTGAACCTGTTAGGAATTATGTATGTTGCAAAGTAACACCATACAACCAGGAAAAATTCTCCATCGAGGAGGTATTCAGATAAAAGTTAACGTATTGTTCCACAAACGAAGCGCCTACAAAACCCGTCGACAATGTTCACTTAGTGATAGTTCCACAGTTGTCTTCTTCGAATTCAGCGCATTTCACTATTGTTTGAAGGGAGACTTTAAAATGGGCGTCGTATTTAAACGTCGTGTGGTGGAACATTCATTAAACTGTTCGTCAAGTGCAACGACCCCTCAAATGTGGGTAAGTTGCGCCATTTCTTTTAGCTGAAGATTTCTTGAAGGCCGGACATCGTGTAAACGTGCACAAAGAACTAAACCAAGGATAAAAGCGTCTTCACCGAATAACAACTGGCGATTCTTGAGCGTAATATGAAAATACAGACTTCTTCTCAGTTAAGGCATGAGGGATAAAAAAATTCTTGAAAATCGTGAACAACTGAACCGATAACAAATGTCGCGTTGAACCGTGACCTAGGGTGCATTTTGAAGAGAGTACACCTATGGTGATCCGTCATGTAAGCAGCTGTTTAGTCGGAACTAATCAATCTAGCTAGACTGCGCAAGGAAACGCAAATGTGACCATCACCGACAGCTCTGTCGGACACCGCAAAACGACTCAGGTAGACCCAGTTACGACCAGGTGATAACTAAACGGACATTAGGCGCAGTGAGGACGTGAGAAGAACTGAAAGCACCTCCAAATTTCTATGCGACCACTTGACAGATGATCAACATTCCCCATTAAACGTATAGGTTGATGTTGATCGTTGGTGAGTGGTAACAGGACTGTCCCACAAAATGGGTTGATTAGTCGGAACAAAAACTCTCCAAAGTAATACACTCACCGAAAAACTGTACACTTAAAGGCAATTATTTACACGAGACGAGGTTTTCGATTTGTTTATTCGGGGGTCAACATGAGAGAAAACAGCCAAAAGGGAAAAGGCAACGGTAAAATAGCAAGGACTCATCTAGACTCACCTTTAAGACTGAGGTAGTCCCGAGCCAATACGTATTGACCAGAATGGGCGAATCGAAAGTCAGACAAACTGGCAATAATATCAGCAAAAAAGCCTAGGTTGTGAGAAAGCCGCGGATCTTCGAATGCTATCGACAGGGAAGGATACGAAGAAGAAAGTGCAATGTAATGAATACACATTTAGTGAACTCGTCTGTAACCCCCTAAACATGAACCAAACACCAGAGCTTCAACGTTCCATTTTCAGTCCAACCTATATCATCCCTATTGCACCGACGCTACGGCAATTCCCCTTCAGAAGAAAACAGTGACCGAGCTGGGTTATAAATTATTACAGCGGTCATATCCCAGTACGAATCGATTACCAGGCAGACCCCAGAGATAAAAAATGCAGTTTCATTTATTGACCACTTTTATACACATCAGACACTCAACAGAAGATAAAGGAAAATTTCCACCGTCAAAGGAGTCTCGCTGGCAGACGTAGGACTAACTCATGTAGCCAAAAGTCAATAATACACGCTTTCGCACGTAGAAGAAAACCATCCTGCTTATACTGGTTACTAACAGCAGGGTCTCCCTATCTCGCAGATAATCTCGATCGAGTTGCTGTTACACAGATACGAAGGTTTTTCAAGTGAACAAAACACAGGAGGGCCCGACTGGCGGGAGAGTAGCTGAGCTTGTTAAGGAAAGGAAAGTGAGTGTACTGAAGAGGATCCGAGTGCAGAAGTTCCTCCTAGACAGTGATCAACCATAAAATCGCTCCAAGATAAGAGAATGACTGTCCAGACGAGTACGATCTAGACGGATAAAAAGTAAACAAAGAAAATTAGAGGTTTGGTATTGATGAGCACATACTAAACCGGGGTGGCTTAAAAGGTTCGAGTGTATCCCGAACGAGTGAGATATGACGGGTGTCGCCGAGCGGAACAATGACCTCCACAACTGTTCCACCTGTTTTACAGATCTCGATCAGAGGTTACGTCGGTTTGAGTTAGTAGTCTGCCGTCAAGGGAACTGTAAACATGTAGAATAGGACTAAATGAACAAGAACCCCCTTTTCGACCTGGACTACTGATCATTACAAGATTTCGCAAGCATGGACTGTTCAAACACAGATCCTCTGGCTGTGTTATCTACTTAAATCTGCATACTCACCCTTACCTATTAGGTTTCGGCGCCCTACCTCAGAGGAGGAACCGACTATGGTGGTAAACCAATGTCAGCTCGCATAATTTAAATTGTATGGATAGTGAGAGCAATGGTTCCAATGACTGCAAACGGTTTCGCTGAGTCTATGTCGCAGATCTTCAGGTCTGACGAACCGACAACGGCTGACTGGACTACATCACTAGAGAGTTTCGGATCCGTCGTTCGTTCAACTGTGGCACCCTTTCGGTGTCTAAGGGTCATGCCACTGACAGGAAGGAAGGACGAGAGATGGGATACTGCTTGGTTGCCCAAGCATAGACAGGGTAAGTCGAGAGGCAGAGGTCGGGTTCGAAACACGGACCTTCTGGTCAGTAAATTCGTGCACCAACCACTGAGCCATCCACCAATTTCGGATCCATTTACCTATGTGCGCTTTTACACAGGAAGACGAAGTTCTGAGAGTAGTAAAATACACTCAATTGCAAAGTAAGTTGAAGTTGGTAGGAAACATAATGGAATCCCAGCTGAATGTGCTGTACAGAGGCCACCTCATGCCCCATTTGGAGCAGTATTCAGTATTTGTCAGCGACCCTATAAGTAGTGTTACGCAGGAGCCTTGAAAGTCCTCTCGTCAGGCGGATTGTAGCGCAGTGTTGTAAGATAAAGATCGCGTAGAGTAAAAGTGAACCTAGTCTGGTTGATGCGCTAACATGACGAAGACACGTTAGGCATCGCTCGATAAATACGGTAGTTAATCACTGTGCCGTCAAGTCATTGGATCTGAAGAAGAGTGAGTTGCTACATGGTCGAGTCATTTCAACTCTATTACGTGGGCGGGAGGCTGGAAACGTGGAGCAATTCTAAACCCAAGTTAAGAACTCGAAAACAAAGGTTTAAAGGACATTTTGAAACTATGGAAGCGTTTCTGATGGAGGTTATTCGGAAATCAGGATTCAACAGGGCGTAGGAAGAGTGTAAACATACCCAGGACATGATTGTCACACAGAGCTCGAATCCGCATATCACAAAGGCGAATAACTCCACGACTGGTGGAGTAGGCAAGAAGATGGCATTGTGAAGGGTGGAATCTGGCACATGTGATGACTTCGGACAAGTCTTCCATATTGGGCGGCTTCAAATCTACAATGGCTTGAACAGAGCGAATGGGGAAATCGAGGTGGAATCTGATCGAGGGCAGCTGATGACACGAACAAAATGGGAAATGAAGTCAAACCAAAGGAACTGTGTAGACAAGGATTTGGATACGGACAGTCGAATTCCAATCGGGTGTGCAGATCAATCAATAATATTAGCCATGACAGTCTCGAGGTGTGAGAACAATGCTTACCCTACAGTATTACAACCCCATGACGACCTAGAAATCATCATCATCATCGACAGCATGACATCAGTGTTCAACACCGATGCTTCACTGCCGTACAACCATGACTTATTTGAAAGCCTTATTGTAAAGAAAAGAATAAAGGTGGATGGGGGAGGGACTTAGTGCTAGCTTAACACAATCATTCCGAGGTGCCTACACCTCCAGACATTCACTCAGGCAATCTGGATAGAAACTGACAACAAGAACGCCACTGACATCGGTTGGCAGCCATATCTTGTAGTGTCTCCAACCAGGCACAGTGAGGATCACGCGGTCCCCATCCTGGAAGGCGAGTAGCACCGACAGCACCCAAGCGTTTCGTGATCTCCTTCATACTCCTCTGCCAGGTCATGGGTTGGCCACCTCTCTGTTTACGCCACTCCGAATTGGGCATGGAAAACAGTACTCTCTTCGGCAAACGATGGTTCGGCATGCGTAAAACATGTCCCAACCAACGCAGCTTCTGGTGCTGGACACATTCTTCAATGGAAGTACCCGTTACACAACCGAAAACACGCTTTCTAACTGCCTCGTTACGGATTCGCCGACACCAACCCACACGAGCTATGGTTCTGAGACAACGATTGTCGAACACCTGAAGACGTCTCAGGTCCGCTGCTCGAATAGGCCAAGTCTCACAGCCATACAACAAAACAGCCCGTACTGTAGCTTGATACACACGTCCCTTCAGATTCAGGGATAAACCATTCTGACGCCATAGGTGTCTCAAGTTAGCAAACGCGGCCCGAGCCTTGCAGATTCGTGCATTCACCTCATCTGTCACACTACAATCAGAACTAATACAACTTCCAAGATACTTAAAACGCTCCACAACTTCCAGCACCTCTCCCTGGATTGTAAGTGGCGTGCTCAGTGACTGCATGTCCACATGACCTTACACTAGAAAGGGAGATGTTCGTGCGTAGTAAGGCCTCCTGGTTAGTCACATAAAGGTTGGTTACATAAAGATAAACAGACCAGCTCGCGCTGTTAGTTCGCATAGCAGATGAAGTTCTTGCACAAAAGCCAGTGAAGAGGCCATGCATTCTAACTTGATGAGCTGGGTACGTTCCTCAGCTATAATCTCCTCGTCTGTTTCAGGCAGACTGAATCAGCCTAATGGACTTGGCTCTTGGCTGGTAGAACCATATGGTAGATTGGTTTCCGTTCTCTGCTACGCTACAGTAATGCACATGTAAACTTTTTAGTGAAAAAGCCTTATTGAGACCAAAACGTTCTGGTCATTGGGTGGTGGGTGGAGCGGCGCGATTATACCGTTTCAGGTTCACCGGATAACCGATATTCAACAAAAATGTGACCCAACATTTGACTTGAAAGCTTAGGTTCACCAGAACTGACGAGAACTGCACAGGAAATCGGCTATTGGACAGGTGAAAGGCGTATCCCAATTTCGGAGACAGCGTAAACCCTTTATAAAACCAGAGATAGAAGTGTGCTAGCAGCCATGAAAACGCTCAAAAGATTGATGCAATTAATCGTATGAGACCAAGAACATCTTACATAGTCGTAAAATATGTCGAGTTGCCACGAGCAGAACTATGTAGCGGTAAAATATTCTAGATTATTTCCTCCTCCAAATACGGGTGCCCCTCAAATACGACCAAGGTTGCTTGCTCTTTAATTCGCAGTAGTGATGGGATAATGTAATAATCCAACAGAGACGCAGAGATTGTGAGCTAAACAGCAAGGGCATAGTAATGATAACACGTATTAGGCTATGAATATGTTTCGTTGTAAGCAGTACGCTCGGTCGAAAAGAAAGCACCCAATCAGTTCTTGGTTAAGAAGGCAGTCGAACACTAGAATATACACTAAGTTGGGAATAAGTGAACATTCATCATGTGAAGGTGAGTTGATCACATAACGCAGATGAATCATGGTAATAAAAGTTCAGTTCAGTTCAGTTTATCAGCTACAAACCATGCACTGAGGGTATATTGGTTCCAGCTGTTACAGTTTTGGTCAACGGAAAGTGGGAGAGCAGGGGAGATACAGCCAAGCATTGAAAGCGATGGTATAATTAGTCAGTTCGGGAAGCTGGACAGCTATGCATTGTAGGCGATGACTTTGATGCACGACCACCATTGACTGAGAGTGTCAATAACCATTCATGAATCGGATCCCGAGATTCCTATCCAGAGAGACGGCAGTTGTCGACGCGACTAAGTTTACTGGTTAGTGCTTTCATACTTTCTTGCCAGGTCACAGACTGTCGGTCGATTTCACTCAGCAAACATTATATGGACAGTAAACCTCCAAAACCATCATTATGGACAGTCGACAACGACCCCCCCCCCAGAAAAAGGCCACACCTCAGGAAAGTTAACTGGATCCTTTTCTCCTGGGGAGTTACTGTATGGAGCATAACCTGCGGTTCACAGCGAACCCAGGTGAGCACAAACGTGCTACTATGCTTTTAAGGAACAGCCAATCTTTTTGAAGGGAAAGAATTAACCGCAGCAACAACTAGTAAAAAGCGGATGTGGGGAACGAGGCACTTACTGAAAGACTGATCAGAAACTTCCAAATGCCAAAGGTTAATGCGCAAATCATCTGCAGAAAGGAATGTTTCTTGATCACAATTAAGAGATATGGCATTGATATGGTACATGTGTGCGTTGGCATACATACGACGAGGGCGGGACTCCACAGTCAAATGCGGGACCGGACGAAACCGAGGAATCCGTAGTTGAGTGGCGGACCTGAGAGTGGGAACTGGGGGACCGATGATGGATGAGTTGGACTGGTCTGCATTCCACAAGCTCTCTGAGCCATCGTCGTCGCGAGTGTTGAAATTGTACGCTTCTCTGCGTCTTTCAGACAATCGCCATAGTTTTATTGTTTTGTCTGGAACGAAAGGGCATCAGGTCTGAGTAGAATAAAATCGATGCCTCAAAGAATAACTAATCTGTTACTGAGATTTGCCAAAGACCCTCAATCTATCTCTAACTGAGAGGAGTTTCGCGGATGGGTTGGGCTGCATAATGATGGCTTCAACACAGTTGAGAACTCAAAACTCGGTCGTAAGTCACGTTTATTACGCCTTTCGTCTGACCGGTCATCATTCGTAACTGTTCCAAAACACCATAAATATGAGCGAGAAAAGTCTATTCATTCTGTGTCAGCAGCAAGTCACCGTAGATCCTATGCGGAAAACATTCATGTGAACCGTGCAACCAAATGGAAAAAGGGGGACATAACAAAGCGCCTGTAATAAATTAAGTTACAAACGAGGGAAATTTCCTTCGGTTCTGAATTTCATCATTGATCCTCTTTAAGAGGGAAGACCCTACATTGGAAACGCTTGACCAGAGAGCAGCATAGGCAGAAATTGAGTTCCTTGATCAGCCGAGTTCCGCAGACAAAACCAACGTGATCTGAGTACGCCAAAACGGATTGACCAGATTGGTATGAAGACTTGTGCAGCACATGACTACTGAATGAAGATACCCGTATCGGTTTGACTTTCATCTACCTGCATCAGCCAGTGAGTCATACTCATTACTGATCTGTCTTGTTGAAGAAATACCCTGTCATATGGAGGCGGTTTAGCTAAACCGGGTAGAATTAGGTCAAACTCTGCACCCCGTCCGGACGCCAGTGAAAAGAGTAACACGTTCGGATTCAATGTTATTTATTATGGGACACGAACCAGCCAGATGCAGCAGTTGGACACGAAAGCGAAAGCCTCAGTTGCATGCAGTCTGAGAAATCCTATGTTTTCAGGCATATTGCTCAACTTTCCAGGACGTCGTTTGCAGAGCTGACATCTGTGAAAGAACACCCTAAAAGCCCGATAATCTCTAAATTTTTAGTCAGCTGCATGGGTGGCGCTTTGAACTGCGAAATGCAGGTACCATGTGAGGAGCCTCGAAATCTTGTACCATTTCCTTTCAGTTGATTCCTGGGATATAGAAGCTACCCACGTATTACCCCAGTATATTGCGCAAGATTTATTACAAAAGTTGCATACTGGTGCACAAATAACATAAGACATTCGACGTCATTTGAAAAGTCAGACACAACATGAGCTCTGCGAACACTGGCTTATAGTTGAAGCCAGATATTTACTGAGACCCACAACCGCTTCTGTAACACAGGGACTTAGTTCACAACCAACAGTGAAGCGAGCAGACGGTACTATTGAGACTATAGTCCGTACAGCGATTAACATAATCTCTCTCTGGAGTGAAGGTGAAACTGGGCATTTTACGGACGCCTAGTTCATTTTGATCTTCCATCGGTAGAGCAAAGACTGTGGCTAACAGAGCGCCAGCATTGACAAAATCACTCAGTATGGATGAACATACCATTTGCTGACAACAAATGATGCGCAGCAGTGACATTTGGGAGCCAATTGATGGAATTGATCTTCTCTTCGATTTCTAGCGACTTCAGATAGTCAAACTCTGGTTCATGACTGGTAAAGGCGCAGTAGACGTCGTATACTCCATCGTCCTGTTCACGACAGAAGGAAGTAAGACTCTTAAGGATGAAAACTTACCTCATCATTGGCCTTAAAGACAGTCACGTGTCCCCCCTTATCCCCTACAGCAAGCAATTCCCCGGTGTCATTGAATTCAAGACATGTAAAGTTATCACCTAATAGAAAAACGTGAAAGCGACGTTGGAGTGAAAGATTCACAACTACCGTCAGTGGCGTCCAAATATGGCGACCCCTTGGTTTGTGAAATATACCATTGGACTGGCTCTGGAAACAGAACGAAAAAATCAGTAACATTACGAACAAAACCAAGACGTCAATATAAGTATATCTGAAACGAAATATGAAGTTGAAAGATCGGCCACTTCTTAGATTGTAAGCCAACAGCTAACAATGAACGTAAGCGAATACTTGATCGACCATTGACAAAGTAGACCGCAACGGACAGAAGCCACTTTAGAAGGAAGTTATCACAACTAGACTTTTTGATTAGTGTGCCAACTGGTTAGTCCACTTACCGACGGAAACAAACGATGGAAACAAATACTCGCAGAATATGACACACCGAATGCAAATGATTCGAATACTTGTGTCCGTCAGCAAACCGGTAAGCACACACGCCTGTATGAGCATACTTCACAAGCTTCGAAAGTGGGAGAAACTGTTCGAAAACATAGACTTGGTTCACAAGTTCAATCCACTAAGGTGTACACAATCAAAACTTCAGAATCATTAGTCTGTCTCGAAAATCAATCCATGGGTCGTTGGATCGGTAAATACTTTAGGTACAAGGTACCTCTGACTTCACGAAACAACCCCCACAATGGTCGACCCTGTACAGTGGGCAAGATAGCTGTAGAACGCTGAAAGCACAGATGTAATGGAGATATTGGTCACAAATTCGTCTTCGCCTATTACCAAACGCGTAGTATGGCATCGAAACTCTAGACACGCAGGCGCCTCAGCTGTTCATTGGTTAACACAGTGGTACCCATAGCGTTTTAGTCTCTCTTATTTGAATGGATTGCAGAAACGCAAATGTTGATTGTCACTCCAATAAATGCTCAGAAGTGAGCAAGGCGGCCTAGGATGCATTGAAGCTCTTCCTAAATGTCATTTTACTTAGTCCAGCCTCAAGGATCATCAGTCGATTTTGAAGGTAAGAACTTCCCCTCAGGACTGCTCGCCGTGAAGTTTTATTCCACTTTCTGTTCAAACCAATATGATACATTACAGTTGCGCTTCATTCATATTATCAAGTGTTTACGTTAAAGAATGTTTTAATGCCGCACTAACTGTACCTTGTATCCCACCAATTCGAAGTCCATCGACCTTTCAGGAGCATCTGAATATGGGTCTTACCATACAATCCACTGTTGTGAATATCAGATTTCGGACAAATGAGGGTACCAACGGACTTCAAAAGTGACAATGATGTTTCCTGAGCCCATACCTCGCTAAGTTGGTTGAATCTGCTCTGATCGACTGGTTCGTGCTTTGCTTTTGGCTTGGTGGTACACGCCTGAATGGTGCACTTGAATTTCCCAGAACATAGGAGAAAACAACTCATTCTTGAGGTTTTATGCGTTCCAAAGCCAACTGCAATGGTGATGTGAAAAAAGACGCAACCTGCAGGAGCTCCTGGGGAGGTAGGGTATTAACACAGCGGTATTATAGATATCGACGCAAAGATTTTCGGAGTAGCTTGGGTAGTCGACATTCATTGGGTAACTGTCATAATGAAGAAAACGACTGTTACAGTGGCGCGCGGTTAACCGTCTACTTTCATGTGCAACCTCTGCCAAAAGCACCTACCAATACGTCCCTGTGCGCCTGCTATTTCCTCACCAGCGTTGGAGACAGAGGAGCCAATCCGGAAACAGTAATTGTTGGTGAGGCTGTGTTAAAGACTGACGATAATACTGCAATATATCTGTCTACCATGACCACACCTTGGTTTGTTCGACGAATGATATGTTTCAATGGACAGCGTACATACCTCGATGAACGGATCGATATCCTCAAGCTCCGAAACCCACAGGTGGGCTTTCTAGCTAACGTAACCTTTTCCCACACTTATCTAAGGCTACTTCGAACCGCTGGTTTCACATTTAATGCAGCTGCTACCATTGCGTGCAGAAAATTGGACGCTAGACCTAAATTCAGGCACTTTTGATGCAAGAAACCCGTCAATGCACAACAACGCGACCAGTAACCGGTCCAGAAAGGAACACAAACGAGGAAAATTGGTAGGTGGGACATGGTTCTGGAATCGAGCTGTCATCTAAATCAAAGAAACTCCTCCGATTTATCAGCCCGGTTCAGTTAATCGGCTATGGACCATGCACTGAACTGCTACTGCTTTGGTTACAGAAAATGGGAAACTAGGGGATACGTACTCAGGCATTTGAAGCAACGATCCAACTAACTATAGTGTGCTGAATCACTCTAATCAATTGATAAATTGGGGATACGAGGAGCTACATAGTGAAGGCATTTATTATCGGTTATGACGTAACCTTGTCTGCCGTACCATTAGACACTGATGAGTCGACTCCCAGGATCCCTATCAAGGGAAGCGGTCCTGGTCAATCCGATTGAACTTACCGGTTAAGGCTTCGAAATATCGTTGTCCAGTCATGCCCTACCGCCTTCCGGTCGTTTACATTCACCACAAGACAGCAAAACAGCTCCGCAGGGGTAAATCTTTTCTGGTATGCGAAGAACGTACTCTAACCTATGAAGCAAGATCATATGGTCTGTAAAGAAAGCTCTTTGTTCCTGAAAACACAACGTACCTGGTTACTGCTAATTCGTTGTTCACACACCCAGTGAATAACTCAGAGACGGCGAGAGTTTATTACGCACTGTGTATGAATACCACAATTTCGATCCATAGAGTAGAATGGATCGCGCTGCCACCAATGCCACAGGTGCCGGAGGTTGGTATAAGCTACCCCGGTCTTTTGGATTCGAGGTGAACTCGTCACCAACTAGTCCACTGAAGCGTTCAGCTGTAGCACCCTTCCGGTGCCTAGCTGCCATGCCACCCGAAGGGAGCATGAGGGCTGGGATACTGCCAGGTTGCCCAAGCCTAGACAGGGGAAGTCGAGTGGCGGAGGTCGGATTCGAACCGCGGACCTTCAGGTTAGTAATCCGCGCTCTAACCACTTCGGCCATCTCGCCCCATTAGTCCACTGGAACATATACAAATGCCCAAACAAATAGATTAACCTGTCGGGTCGACTGTCTGCTCTACAAGCACGCGGTTTGGGTTTGGTTCTACCAACTCCTGTAGCAGTTCTTCATACTTTGTAGGTGTGAAGCGTATACCCACAGGGACAGCAGACCTAGATTAGTTAAAACGGTTTATTTCTGAAGGACGTGAACCAAAGAGAATGACATTCCATGCTTGTGGGAAACCACCCCGGGAGCATTTCGACCACCAAGGTTTCAATAACAAAGTCGAAGGGGAATGATGAGAATGAGTAGCCCTGTCTTATGCTCTAATGGACGTGACCTCAGGCGAGAGCTTGCCGCATATCCGTACGCACCCACAAAAGTTGGTATATAGTGCCTTTATAAGGGGTAAAAACTTAGAACTTCTTTGATCGCCAGAGGCAGTCACAGTTGGTAATGGCGAACAGAGTCAGAAGTATCTCTGACCAAGAAAATCACCAATTTCGAATGTTTGGGTGGCATTACTCAGGCGAAAATGTGATCAATGCGTCCTCGGTCAGTTAGAAACCCAATTGAATTCGTCCATAACCGGCAATCAACCTACCTTAGTCACAGCATTTCGGGTGCTACGGCTAACTGACTGATGCCACGATGACGTTTTAGTGATGCTCTTGCTCTCTTTACTCAAGGCTTCAAGCACACTTTGCCGGCATTCTCTTTTCGTCCCACATCTTCGTCAGACAGCTCACCAGGCAGTCAACAACTTATGGAAAAAGTGTGACGAACAAATCAACCAGGCCCGGTGCCTTGCCGGGTTAAAAGATTACGAAACTAACTCCTCTAGCGCTGAAAATATCTATGTAAATCTAGAACAGTTAGTCCGGGATTATAGTTGCTGGCAGGACTGATACAGTGCTATCCCTCATGTGTAGAAATTCACTTGAGATGATCCTTGCGAACTCCATGTTCAAAGAAGAAGCATGAACCAGTTGGCCTGACGTCTACTCGGTAAAGTAATTGGGAGGCTATCTAGGGATATTTCGGAGGAGTAGGTTGTAAATCAAACTTCTTCCTCGCATAGAACGAACGGGCAGAGTAGGTGGACATCAGCAACCAACCCGATCCCTTGAGCGTGCGCTTAGATCAAACACTCTAATTACAAGACTGCAGGTGGAACCTACATCCGAACGTGCGAAAAACGTCCGGAGACATGTGGCCTTCTAATTACCCACACAGACTTCGTAGCCATCTTTCTCTAAGCCTCAAAATGTTTGAGACCCGGTGTTATCAGAGCTCCTAGGTTCATTCAGCTGTAACGCCCCTTTGGCGCCTCACTGCCACGCCGCTCGAGGTCCGAGATATTGCCAAGTTGTCGAGGCCTGAGAAGGGGCAGTCGGGCTGCAGAGGCTGGGTCCGAAATACGGATCTTTCGGTCTGTACGTTCGCGTCTTGGCTATTAAGCTATCTAGAGCCCCTCCCCCGATATAGCTTGTCTTAACGAGTAACCATCGGTAGGATGCACTGCGACCCGTTGAAAACGATAAATTAACATAGCACAGCACTTTTCATGATTGAACACAATCCGCAGTCGAGGCCGGTTGTTAAGAGAGTTAGGGGCCCATCTGAAACTTCCACATAGTTGTCACTTCCTTGAGACTGAGTTTGCCCGCAGAAATGTGACTTGGGATTCGTAGTTCAACCGGCAGGTCATTTAAACGCTTGGAAAAACTCAAAACCCATCACAATTCCTGGAAGACACCGCTGCTGCAGTGTACTAGATCCCAATGTTATTAAAACTGACCAGAAATGCGCACGCGACGACTCTTCGACCCGTGAATTAAAATTCTTCCAGACACCCGTAAGATGCCAGCCTCCAGAGTACGATTGAGGTCCACATAGACATCAATCTAGTTTCGGACGTTATCACAATGGGTCAATTTCTTTAGTTAACAGCGGGCTGGAAAGCCTGACCATCTTTCTGAAGCCCATGCCGCTCAGCTGACCGAAGATAACTGATCTGGAAACGGTGCCCAATTTCGTCCTTGGTGGGGTTTTTCAGATTTCACACGCCGAAGACTACTGAACCCACTCTGAACATCGGTTTCAGTGATGACAACATCCACTCTAGCTTGAAAAGCGGTTCAGGTAGGAGAGTCCTCAGTTACACGCAAGGTGTTGAAACCTTGCCGCTAGAGTAGCTTCGCCTTTGGTTTGTCTTCTTCCGCCACAGAACTGTGAAATGCATCGTACAACTATCGCACGGCGTTTCTTAATGATTCGGCCATTCTGTATTCATAGGCGGTCAGTATACGAAGATGACACTCGCAGTCTCACAGCAGGAGTTGTAAGAAATTTAAACAGATACTTTCATGGCCGATCGGCAGGAGCCATCCCTAATTCAAAAAATGTAGGATGCCTACAGGGCAAATGGGTAGGGGAATGACGGAGGGACGGAAGTCAACACGGACCATACTCGGCTCCCGACTCCAACACTTATTAACAACTTGAGGACCACCTATTAGCTGCGGATGCACGAAAACATGACAAATGGCTGTGGGCTTCAAATTGCCATTACATTTCTTATAGAGCGCCATTCCTGAGACTTTCCTAGTCCATTAGTGGAATTGAGACCAGTCAAACCAAATGCATGTACATCAATCAGATTAGTTAAGTGCACTGGGGTAGTACAAATCAGATACCTCTACAACGCTTTCCATTCGCTTTTTGGGATGGATGTCGTCATGGAGCGGCATCTCTGAAAGGACCCATACGGTGTATTTAAAGCCACTCGGAATGCCGGAGAAGCTTAGAAAGGTAAATCTCCTCCCAACCTGCTTCAAATGAAGCTGGAAGCGAAACTAGAAACTAATGCTATGAAGTTCACTTACCCGACAGAATTACATGCATCACCAGAGTGCATTCACCGCAACGAGCCCCGACAATAAGCCAATATTAGGTGGGTGTTGTTTCTGCGCTTAAAAGCCTTTTTGGGTATTGCCGGTGTGCTATATTGCCCGAAATCGGTGTTGAACTGCGGAGAAGTGTGCGCAGATCCGCACTCCGCAGTCAGCTGGCGACCACAAACCCGACAGCGGATTGGTCGACAGTTTGTTCACGGATTCACGGACTCACTGATTGATGCACAGGATCGAGGCTTTTGCCCAAGTTTCCCGGGTCGGTTTTGTCCTTGTCGGTCAGTGGCTGTCGTTCACCATGCACTAATATACACGGCAGAGAACCGTATAGTATACATGAGAAGAGGGACGTAGGCTCGCAGATTCGGCCCATGGAGTATTCGATGCTGTTCGTGTTTCAGGAGAATTGGCTGAAGTTATTGATGGCAGCTACCTTATGCTCCAATTCACACGGGGGATATCCGAATGTGCTTACTGGAAATGCACTGCGACTTTTAAGCAAGAGTACTGACCCTGACCAATATCAACCATTCTGCTGTGTTGTGTTTATCGCCATGTGCGTGCGGATATGTAAATTTCCTTGTTCAGCTGCTGCGTGCATCAAATTTAAGCCCAGGACAAACAGAACAAACGTGTTATGGACCTATTTTTGTAATATATAATAACAATAATAATAATGTAATAGGTTCAGTATCACCAAACGGGATGCGTGCATATTCATACACGTGTAAGCACGCGACTAATGTGCCAAATTTAACCAGTAAATAACAACCTCACGTTAAGTCGTAGTGCGCACTGGCAAGTGGGGCAGGCGGTGACGAAGGACAGAACTTGATAACATTTTACGGTGGGCAACTGCAGTGGAATAATCTGATGCAGCCGTTGGACACCGTTTTCCATAGCTGTTGGTCGTAAAACCGGGGCGCTTCCCTCAATAATCTTGAAATACATCAAGTAAGGGCGAATGCATCGCAGTAATATTCTTGCACACGAACCTCGGAGAAAACGCGGGGACAGTGCACCGTTTCACTCATAACCTGTAAATTGCGGATGATTGCTTGAGTAACAGTCATGAACTATGTTCAAATCATGCCAGTAGGTTGAATAGAGCTGCCTCGGCACCCACATAATTTTTGGACCATATTTCTAGACAATAATAACGATAACCGGTTTAATCCACAACTTGTAGGGGAATGCTAATTGAGTCGTGACGTGTACGCTCGTATCGGTAGGTTCAGCTGCACCCGGTCAAGCACGAAGATGTTTCTACTCATTCTGAAATAATACAAAATTCTCGTGTGTGATCAGTTTAAGGCATCAGTTCACTCTCAGATTCTGATCTCATTTTGATACAAAACCAATTGTATACCCTGTAATATTGAAGCGACGGCCTTTCTATCCGCTTTCTGGTGATTTTGCGCACTCAATGACTGTCCTGGAGCGAAAACCCATCTTAGTCGATTACCACCTTTCACGTTCCTTTTGAATAGTTTGGTAGTCCACAAGTTCACGACTGCCAAACATGAAGCGCGCAGTAGGGGATAAAAATGTTTCTTTAGACTTAGGGGCCCAGTGGGTGATTTGATTGGTTATTGTATGTGTGCTGGGTAAGCGCAGATAATAATGTTTATTCCCAACTAGTGGGTGGCACACCGTCAGACATGATCATGTGGCTACAGACAGAATAGAGCACGACTGGGAGATATGCGTGTGCTGGGGGTTGCGCGATAAAAGACAATGTGACAAACAGCGGACAGTATGCAATGCAGACCTGACCACGCCCAAACCAGCATGGGAAAATAGCCGCGGTCACCAGGAGTTTATCTTACTTTCTGGGGGAGGGACGCTGCAAGCTGACACAAAATCAGACCTTCTAGTTTTGAAGGTGGCGGCTAAAGCAGAATGAGAGGGCGATAAAGAAGCATCCGTCTTGGTGCATGATGAGGAATCTTCAAATTGCTGACAATGATGAACCAGAGCAACGCATCTGGTGGGGAAGGTGGATTGTCGCGCTTTGGCCGGCTAATATGAACTGGAGTCTAGAACTATCGATTAGGCCTATTCGACCTTAGACTGTTGGGCTTATGATCAGTTTCATAAAAAGCAAAAGTGGGGATGATGAGTTACAGGAAACAGCAATGCGGATAAATGATAGCAGGAATCTCGAGTCACGGTGTACATTGAAAATGTAGGGGCTCACTTGTGGGTAGGGTCGGGTGCAAAATTTCAATAGGGGAGGAAGTTAGTGCTAACGCACGAGATGGGGCACGAACTGTACACTGACTGACTTTGTGTGGAACATAAAACGAAGGTCAACGAGATGTTTACATCCGAACGAAGTTTTCAGCGGTTTAGAATGAACGGGTCCTGGAGGCGTCTGAGCCCGGTGAAGAGTTTGTTCACAGTTGTAGTTAAGGACACGAGTAGGTGGGAGCATCGTCAAAAGTAGGAAGTGTATAGTTGCGGGTGTCCTTTGGGAACGGCAGTGCCATGCTAGTATTGCTCTGATGCGTTTCGGTTTCTGAACAGCCCTGTGACAGACGCTATGCTTTATGTGTTTTGGCTAGGATGCGCAATCTTGTGAGAAGAATGATTATTTCTGGGTGATGGGGTTGTCCAGGGAATCCGATGATGTTAAAAAGGTCACTGTAAAGTTCTAGGTATTTTTGGTTCTGTGGGGATCCCTTCGAGTATAGATCACGGATCAGATGGAGTGGATAACAGCCAAACAGGGCGTCCGAATCAGGCTAAGCCGAAAGTCGACGCTTGAAAATAGGAGGGAATTAGTTGAGATCAACAAGGCCTGAGAGTTTTAGGAGCCACCAGATAAGAAAAAGTCCAAAATTGGACAAAAAACTGAACGTTTACCACAATCAGGATAGTGACAGTAAGTGATTAAACGGGACAGAACGGAAGCCGCCTATGCTTAGTAACCTGAAAATCAATGAGTCTTCGAGCTAGCCAATATAGGCAATTGTAGTACCAGGGGGACAAAATCGTTATGAGTATGCAGAGGTGATGTGACGAAGGAAAGAAGACACAAGAACTGATGGGAGCGAAAATTCCGGAATAACCGACTGGATTTTCTTAGGGTAATTTGGACGACTAAAATCTAGGAGGGAAAGTGAATTTTAGAGTGATGACCACCTGTTCCCGAAGCACCGCTATCAGCTTCAACCATCGGGTAATGTATGGCGAAAAAGACTTTAGGCGCTGGCCATGTATTTTGAGATTTCATTGCGTGAAAATTCTTCATTTATGTGTATCTACTCCTGGAAGCAGTAGGTTGGTGGTTTTCTTTGAATGATGGCGTGGGCATTGGTGCGATGCAACCACAATTATCACGAAGGCGGCTACAGCTTTGCATGACAATGTGGACCTTTGGCATCGCAGAGTATCCTCAGACTGGCCCAAGTAGTTTTAAAGGATTTCTTGACAGAAGAAAGGTCCGTTTTTTCCACTAGTTGATTGTTGGATAGCAAGATAAGTGACAGCCGGGACGAATCCAGCGGTAGCAGAAACAACAACAAACAGAAAACAACGGTGCCATTATATGGACTTCCTGGATTGAAGGCCAGACTCAGAACCACGGACGATGGGTGATGCACCGGCGTTACTGGATGGGTGTCGAGTATGTGAAAGCAACATGTTCCATAGTAACAGCGCGACATTCCTTGCAGGGCGTACCCGAATACCGCACGAGGTTTTCATCCCTCATGAATGCTATGAGATATGCAAGAAGGAAACCCCCCAAGCAGTCGCAAACGCGGTTTGTGAATTAATAGAATACTCCCCAAAAGTTGTTTATTCAGCCGACGGAAAAGCCGAACCAGTAAGAACGATGAAAATTGCGTCCATATGTCGTTTGGAGGGGATTCAGCGAATACCTTTGTTATGCATGGTGAAGAGGGACCAGAAAACATCACGAGGATGGATGTCAAAAAAGATTTGGGTATTTGGGTCTCCTCAAACTTGTCCTTCTCACTACACCATGAGAAATCTGCCCAAAAGGCATTCGCCATTTCACGGATGATCCGACGCACCTTCTCCCGTATAACTCGCGTGGACCTCCAAATACTCTATGGGGCCTACGTCAGACCGCTCCTGGAGTACGCCAACCAAGTTGTCTACTCAGGACGCACGAAAGACGTCAC